TATTTTATGAATGAATTTGTTGTCTATAACCCACAACAAATTCAATCACTTAAGTTGGGGCAAATAATGTTCTAAATATAGTATCTTTAAATACGCCTTAAAGTTTTTCCTCCAAATTTCTATAACTATATTTTGAACTCTGTACACAATATTTGCTTTCAAGAGATCCCATCTCCACTTTGAAGTGTGGGGATTGTGGCACAAATCCATAACAAACCTAGCATTAATTGTTGCAAATTCCATGTAAAAAAAAACTTATAATGGAATGCTCATTGGTTTGGAATATAAATCATGATTGTAATGTTGATGGTGCCCAATTGTCACTTGGTATATGATGAAATCCATGGAATTGTAGGCCAATGGATTTCATGTGCACCTTGCTCTACCCCAACCCCTATTCCCATGTACTTGTGCAGTTGTGCCAAGTAAGGATTACAATGAGTTAAGCTAAAATTAAAAATTTAATTTGTGCAATTGAAAATGAAAAATCAGTAAATGAACACCATATCACAAGACTTTTATGTTTCATAGCAATTTTAGTAGAGCCATTAGCACAACCTCTGGTTAGGGATGGCAAGTTCCACTTTGGTAGGTATTCATCTAGTTGGGGTGGATTTCTTTGTTTGAAAAAAAAAAGATGTTGGGGCAGGGATGGATCTTAGTATTTTTACAACCGGTTAATAGTACTCCACGTGCTTATATTATAGTTTATTATTGTAAAGCATAGGAACTTATGTATTATATGTTGAATTCAATAATGTTTTGATATTATGTAAAAAAATAATTAATAATTAATAATTTATGTATTTTATACATTTCAATTAAATAATTGAAATTTTTGATATTTATTCATGTTATTTTGCTTATTTATCGCTTGAATATAATAAAAAATAGATACGCATTGTAGATTGATGCATCAACCCAACGTCTTGACCTGCCCTTAGGGGTGCTCACGGCTCGATTAACTGAATCGTGTGTAGAGATAAAGAGAGTTAGCCGATGAGGCTATTTTTGTATTTTTACCTCTTGTTCTATTTTATTTTATCTTGTACACTATTTATTCTATTGTATACTAAGGACAATTTGGTCCTTTTACAATTTAATATAAATATCTTTTTTAGGGTGTTGATCTCTCCATTGGACACATCCACAAATTTGTTGTTGTCTCTCCTTTTTCCTGGGTTTACAGACTTAGATCGGACTCTAACATAGTATCAGAGCAGGTCACGATCTTATCTATTGAGCTCACTTCTCTGTCTTTTGAATCTTTTGGCATCTAGGGGTCTTCCTAATAATACTTGGGAACCCTTTAGTGCCCTAAAATATTCTCTCCCAAGGTTGTTTCAACCAAACCTTGATAGATCTGAAATTTGGAAGTCTACGCCACCAGATTTACTTCTTTTCTTTGATCTGCACTTGGAGACATCAAATCTGCTTGAAACTCAAGATAAAGTGTCTCCCAATGGAGTTCTTGTGATCCTCTTCAGCCTGGTTGAAATCGATTTGGTTTAAGAAGAGTTTTATTCTTGTCTTGGTTCAACATACTGTGATAGTTTCCTTTTCTGGACATTTGAGTGAAAGGTACCTTCCCATCATCATATCTTCTTCAATTTTCGATATCAGTCTTGGAAATCATCAATTTTTTTTATGCTAATGGCTTCGAAAATAATGGATGTCCTTCCTGTTAAATTTAATGGATCAAACTATGCATTGTGGAAGTTTAACTTCTAGTTTCACATTGAGGCAGAGGGTCTTTGGGGCTATTTAGATGGAACTACACCTAAACCTGATGACTCAGACATTAAGGCTTTAAATTAGTGGAAAATTGATAATACAAAGATTGCATCATGGATTCATGGATCGGTTGAGGTTGGCATTGCCATTCCTATGAAAGGTTATAGAATAGCTTATGAGATGTATGAGTATCTCGAGAAGGTATCTCAGTAGTTGAACACCTCTAGACAGTACCAAATAGAGGTTGATATCTTCTCATACTATCAGGGAGAGAGAAAAGTCCAGGAATACTATGCAGGGTTTATTAACCTCTGGACAAAATATGAATTAGTACACATGGGAAAGGATCTGTCGGATCATTGCGTGAAGTATATGAAGGAACACTTTGATAGAAGGAAGGTTATGCATTTCCTGATGCATATCAGACCTGAGTTTGAAATTGTCAGATCTAATATCCTGAGCTGAGGACTTCTTGATTTAGATACTATTCTTGGGGAAACTTTGAGAGCTGAAACTAGATTTGCTACACAGACCACACTCGATGGGAGGAAAGACTCCAACATTGATGTTGTTTTCCTGGCAACTAAATCAAAAGGGAATAAGGATTTCTCCCGAATTCAATGTTATGAATGCAAAGAGTTTGGACATGTTGTTTCACACTATAAGAAGAAGAATGCATGCACTTATTGCAAGCAGAAGGGGCATATCATTACAAAATGTCCAACGCTGCCACCAAAAGAAAATGGGTTTAATCAGAAGAAAGGGTCTTATAAAGCCTATCAGATATCCATAGAGAATTCAGATGCCTCATCTACCATTACTTCAATGGCTTCACAGAATGATACTTTTGGTGGTATTTCTAAAGAATGGATTTGGTAGCTCATGTCCTCGGCTATCTCTTTCACTTTCTCAGCTATTGGCCTATCTAGTACGTCTTCTAATTCAAATGCCCCATCTACCATTACTTCAGTGGCTTCACAAAATGATACTTCTGGTGGTATTTCTAAAGAATGGATTCGGCTGCTCATGTCCTCGACTATCTCTTTYGCTTTCTCAGCTATTGGGATGTCTAGTAAGTCTTCTACCTTATGCCCTTCATCAAACCACCTTTGGATTATAGACCCTGGTGTATCTAATCACGTGACAGGGGCCTCCATTTGTCAGTCTCTTAAACCCCATCTTTCTAATAGACTTATTGTTATTGCAAATGGTGAAAAACTAGATATACTTGGTTGTGATGATTTACAATTATCTACCTCTAGGTCATTTTACTTTCACCTACCCAAGACCTTAACCATTAATTTGATTTATATTGTTCAACTTGTGGAAGATAGTAACATTGTCTTGTTTTTCTCTAATGGTTGTTTGGTACAGGACTTGCAAACTAGGGAGGTAAAGGGGAATGGGCATAGACTGGGCCGACTGTTTTCTTTAGAGTTTGAGAAGAAGAAAGTTGATTCAATTTCTACTTCTTGTTTACTCTCTACTACATCTAGTTTTGAATCTTTTAGTTGTAATAATGACTGAAACTTGTAGYATATACGCCTCGGTCATCATTTTTCTAAGAAACTTGATTATTTGTTTGCTTCTATTAGTTTACCGAGTTCTACTACTTCATTTAAGAATGTTAATAAATCTTGAGTTACTTGTTGTTTGAGCAAAAGTCATATTTTACYCATTCCTTCTCATTGAGTTACTTGTTGTTTGGTCGTCTCCAATTACTTCTATATTGGGATTCAAATATTTTGTTACTTTCATTGATCACTACCTCGTTTCACTTGGATTTATTTTCTCCACAAGAAATCTAAAGTTTGTTATATATACAAACTATTTCAAGCTTATGTTAAGGAAAAACATGTCCTATGATCCGATTCAAAGGGAGAGTACTTTGATGGGGATTTTCAGGCTTATTTGAAACAACAGGAAATCAAATCCCAAAAATCCTGTCTTAGTACTCCTCAACAAAATGGAATAGTAGAATGAAAGAATAGACACATCCTAAGTGTAGTTTGGACCCTTTTGCAAGATTTTCATGTTCCTTCTTGGTTTTGGGTAGAGGCGGCCAGCACTGCTGTGTATCTAATAAATCTTCTTCCATCATCTGTTCTAAATCACACTTCTCCCTTCCAGTCCCTTTTTCACAAACCTCCAAACCTATCATTGCTCAAAGTTTTTTATTGTGTTTGCTTCGCTCATCTTCCATCCCATGAACGCACCAAGTTGACTGTACAGGCAGTTGTATGTGCCTTTGTGGGGTACAGTCGTGACCACAAGGGATTCCTTTATTATGAGCATATTGTTAAATTTCATGCTCCTTCTGTTTTTTTATTGCATAGCTTTGATTCGATAGATCTTTCAAATGCTTTGACATCACCCATGCAGCAACTTCAGACCTACTTCAAAAGACAAAAGTCTACATCAACTCCTATGCCCCTTTTGTCTTCTCCAACATCAGTTGTTGATCCAGTTACACCATCCATTCTTGGAAGTTCTCCTAATCCACCACCTGAACCCACTGCACCCACTTTGCGCCGTTCTTTTAGAATTTCCCGCCCTCYTGACCACTATGGTTATTGCTTAAACCATAGTTCCTTTTTTGTTATTTTATTCACCATAGATATTCCCAAGACTTATCAACAAGCTATAGAAATTCCACATTGGAAAGATTCCATGGACTCTGAGATCCAAGCCCTTTTTGAGAATGACACCTAGGATTTGGTTAAAGCTTCTCCTGAAACCTCTCATTGGGAGCCACTGGGTTTACTCAGTAAAGTTGAAGTCAAATGGAGTCTAGATAGGTATAAGGCTAGACTTGTTGCTTAAGGCTATAAAGAGGAATATTGGATAGACTATGAGGAGAGACCTTTGCTCTTGTAGCCAAGATGACTATGGTCAAACTTTTGTTAGCCATCTTTGTAGTTAAATATTGTACAATTCATCAGATGGATGTGAAGAATGCATTCCTATATGAGGATTTGAAGGAAACTGTTTGCATGAAACCACCCCTGGATATGGTACAGATCCTCAGCTTATTTGTCATCTCAAGAAGTCATTGTATGGCCTGAAATAGGGCTCGGTTTGAGAAATTCAGATCTGTGATCACTAATGCTAAATTTATCCAAAGCTCTTCTGATCATTCACTTTTCACCTTACATCGGAATTAGGGTGTAACTCTTCTTCTCCTATATGTTGATGATATAATCATTATATGGAATGATGTAGAAGGGACCACTGATCTGAAATAACTCTTTAGTGACTCCTTTAAGATGAAGGATTTGGGCCCTTTAACTTACTTCTTGGGACTTGAGGTGAGTCGTAATTCCCATGACTATTTTGTTAATCAGCATAAGTATGCAATGGATCTTGTCAAAATGGCTAATCTCAGTGACTCCAAGATTGTTGATACTCCCTTAGAGGTTAATTTGAAACTAAGCAAGGATGATGGTTCTTCTCTTGAAGATCCTACTCTTTACCGACAATTGGTAGACAGCTTAATATATCTCACGATGACTCAGCCGGATATATCATATGTAGCCCATATAGTAAGCCAATTTGTGTCATCTCCGTGACAACCCCACATGTATGTAGTCCATCGAATTATTAGGTATCTGAAGGGAACCGTATCTCATGGCTTCCACTTCTCCTCCTCTTCATCTACCAGCCTTAATGCCTATGTCGATGCTGATTAGGCTGGTTGTCTGGACACTCGAGTTAGCCGAGGAGGCTATTTTTGTATTTTTACCTCTTACTGTATTTTATTTTATCTTGTACACTAAGGACAATTTGGTCATTTTATAATTTAATATAAATATCTTTCTTAGGGTGTCGATCTCTCCATTGGACACACCCACAAGCTACAAACCTACTGTTAGTCTCTCCTTTTTCCTAGGTTTACAAACTTAGACCAAACTCTAACATCGTGGGCCTATTTTTGAAATCGAACYGGTATCACCAATTTCTGGAAAATTGGTAACCGAAATCAAACCAAAACTGATTAATTAACAGTTGACCGGKTCAGTTAACCGTCAGTTCAATTTGTTGTTTTTTTTTTGGTTTTTTATATTTATAGTATGCACTATAAAAATTATATAAATATATAATAAAAACTAGAAATGTATATAAAATATTATATTTTAAATAATAAATAATATTATATATTATACATTAACTGGAACCAAACTAATACCTTTCATTTTTTTAAGGGTAAATTACAAAGAACCCCATATACTATGACCGTGAGACAAAGACCCCCTTTGTTAGCTTTCCGTTGAAATCCGTCATTACAATATTTTTTAATCCCCATACTACCCTTGTAATAAGGACAATTGGGAGAAAAACACTATTCATCTTTCCCGACCTCACACGATACACGAACAGTAACGGMGGTAATCCCTCCTTCGTATTTCTCTCTCTCCCCCGAGTTCTCTTCTTCCCCTTCCCCTTTCTCTCCTCCCATTTCTCTTCTCTTTCATTTACGCCCAGGTTGCTTTCAACAACAGCCCAATTCCAGGGCCGTGAGCAAGTAGGCGATTCTCCTAAGATTGAAGTTGAGGTARTGATCTGCTGTCACCAACCGTTTCTCGAAATAGCAGTGGGGATGTATGGATTTGCAATGATCAAAAGTGTTGCGGTCCACGGCTTTGCTCTGCCTATCTCCGGCGTGGTCCTCTGCTCGTCTCTATTCTTTTTCTCTTCTGGCCCTCCCGAAGCTGCATTAGACATCTTCTGATTATTTTATGGACTGCCGGGATCGTTGCTTGTTCATGAGATTTGCTTATTAATGTTATTAGTAAATAAGTGATTCTTGTTCATTACTTCATTATTTGTATTTTCTCTGTTTCGGATTTCAGATTCATGAATACGATTATGTAATAGCATGTTGAGACTTGAGTTTCCGGCATAGTACCCTGGATATTGTTTCTGGCAAGTTTTACACTGGCCAAGCTCAACTGGTATAGTACCCTGAATATTGTTTTCGGCAAGTTTTATTGCAGTCAGGTTCTGACACCTTCCCCAACTCGGTGAGAGCTCCCCATTCAACTTATTGTTGCTTAGGTCAATATAATCAAGGTTTGGATACACTCCAAGGTCGGGGTCTATACTTCCTGTGAGTTGGTTTCCTTCGAGTCGGAATCTATACAAGGTTGGGCAGTTTTTCAAGCCCTTTGGTATGGGGCCTGTGAAATTGTTGCTTGCTGTAGTGAAATTCACAAGCAAACCATTTTTGCAAAGTTGTTGTGATAAGTGGCCAGAGAAGTTGTAATTCATGTGGAAAACGGTCAACAAGGAAAGGTTTCCTATTTCTTGAGGTACTATCCCAGATAATCGATTTCTGTTGAGGCGCAAATCAATTAAACTTCTCCAAGTGCCTGTGGTGGGAGGGATTGATCCAAAGAGATGATTTAGATCAAGGAACAAGTGGGTTAGCTTGGTCAAATTGCCCAAAGACAGAGGGATAGTGCCTATAAGGTTGTTCCCCCGTAAAAGCAGTTTCTCCAAGTTATTGACATCTCCTATTTCTGATGGGGTTGAACCAGATATCTAATTATTCATGAGGACTAGCTCTCTTAGACTTGTGAGGAGGGTAATCTCCCTAGGTATTATCCCAGTGAGATTATTGTATTGGAGATCAAGGTTGGTTAGTCTTGTCCAGTTGGAGAACAGATGTGGGTGTAGCTCACCGGTTAAGGCGTTATTGGAAAGGTAGAGCTTGGAGAGGCTACTGAGATTGGCCAGCTATAGAGGAAGAACACCAGAAAGCTGATTGACAGATTGGCCACCACAACGCTTTTGATCACTGCAAATCCATACATCCTCACTGCTATTTCCTCACTACCCCAACCCCAGGTGTCGACTTTGCTGCTGAGAAACGGTTGGTGACAGCAGATCACTACCTCAACTTCAGTCACAGGAGAATCACCTTCTTGCTCGCGGTCCTGGAATTGGGCTGCTGTAGCTTGGGCGTTAGTGAAAGAGAAGAGAAAGGGGAGGAGAGAAAGGGGAAGGGGAAGAAGAGAAATTGGGGGGTGGGGGGGAGAGAGAGAGAGAGAAATGCGAATGAATTTGAGGTAGAAGGGATTACCGTCGTCATGAAATGGGGAAGATGAAGAGTGTTTTTCAACCAATTGTCTTTATTATAGTAATAATATGGGGATTAAAAAATATTGCAACAGCGAATTTCAATGAAAGACTAACGGAAGGGGGTTTTTGTCTCAAGGTCATAATACAAGGCGTATTTGTAATTTACCTTTTTTTGAAGGGAGAATGGCCCATACCCCTATGTCAGAATTTGTAAGTTAAAAGTACATTTGAGATAGGTACCAATTCAAGGCGAGTATGAATGCATATTATTTCTCCGTTTTTTAAATTACTGAACCGTTTGATTCAATTAATCAAAATTTTCTATTCGCTTCGATTTTTCGATTTTTTTTGCTCATCCCTGCCTCCCGGCCCTCCCCCACCCTGCACACGGGTTTGGATTATGAAAATCCAACCCGCTGCGGTTTGATTTCGAGGAGGGCACGGGTTGGTAGGTTTTCAACCCGTTGTCATCCTTGAATACTTCTAACTTCGGTCATGGCATTTTCAATATTTCCCGCCATATTCACCCGTACGCGGAAGGAATGACACTGAAGCTGAAGAAACATTAGCGCAGCGATGGATGCCTCGCATTTCATCCCCTTGATATCGGTTTCTGATATTCGACTTCATTATCTAGGTCTTTGTCTCCTACTACACTTCCAATAATCCCACAATCTGTACACGAGCTCCATTTAGCGAAACCACTGTAACTAGAGTTCGATTTCTCCGTTCTCTGCATTCACGCTTGTTCATTTTCTTTCATTTCCCCTCCATTTCCTTATTTTTTGCAGCCACGTATCTGATATTCAATTCAAAAATTATGTTAATTCATCTCAGGTTTTTGGAATTTTGTTAATTAAAGCTCCCTTCATATCACCGATTTGTGAGCATGGGAGATGTGAAGAGATGGACCGTGACCTACACAAAACACATCAAGCAGAAGAGGAAAGTATACCAGGATGGTGTTTTAGAGTTTTATAGCTCGCTCGACAAGGTACAAACGCTCTGATGATTTTCGCCTAAAAAATGTTTTTATAATTATTTTATATTGAGGAACGAGGCATCTTATTATCTAATCTCGTATGCATGGATGCATGGATGCGTTACTGGTCATCTACCGCGTATTCATTCTCCCGAATATCTGGATAAGATGGAAAATGAGTCTGAATAATTTCCGGGATATCACGGCTAGGGGCTTTACTATGATGTTGTGCCGTTTGTTGATCAACAACGCAGTAACTTTAGGACCTTATGGTCTTCCCTACTTTCTGTTGCCATTAGAACGATTTATTTAAATTCGAACAGTTGTCGTCATTGGAAACGGGAAGAAAACTTCAATTACTGAAATGTGCTTGTTTGAGTGGTGTATGTAAATTGCAACTCATTTGTCTGTTTCTCTTAATTGTTAACCTTCAAAATCTAAGGAAGACAATATTTACTTATGCCTTTTCCTGTATTTTCGTTTTTTTTTTTCAGTTTCCTTTTTCCTTTTTTTTCCTGATTGTGGTGGTGAGGTCTCTATATTTTCAGATCACACTTTATGATGATGGTGGGAAGCTCTTACAGACCAGATTCTTGAAGAAGGATGAAGTAATTGGATCTGGTGAAACACTGACATTTGATGCTCATCTCGTTGACATTGGGGATCCTGAAGGAAACCATGAGCCTCTGGTGAATTTTAATAATGACCAAGGAAGATATAAGAAACCAATTGGAATGACATGGATGTTACATGGTCAAAAAGCTAGAAAGCCTACTTTTGTTGGTATCTGGTCATTTTTTTTTCTGTTTTTTAACGGTTTCTACATGCTTATTTATTCTTGAAGTTACAAGTCAAACTAGTTTGCTTTCACGCAATTGAATTCCTTGCGCTGCAGAAAACAGAAAGACTAATACAGGAAATAGTGAGACACCACCCAATTGCCCAAATATGAGACTAAACATTATCAGAGGTTAGTCTATTAGCAATTGCAGCTGTATCTAGTGCATTCATTGTTCTTTGTATTATTGATTTTTGCAAGGGCGTTCTTATTAGGACAAGTACTCATTTATGCACTGCCAGCATGACAAATGAGATTAAGATTCTCACTATCATTTTTTATTGTTAAGCATATTTAAGTGTTAAAGGATGTAAAAGATCAGATCTTGGTCTTTTCATGGTTGAGTGAGTGATTAGGGCCTTGGTTCAAAGTATTGATACATATCGTATGATATGTATCAGTTTTCAGGATCACATAAATGCTAAATACAAAGATTTAGGAGGTTTCTGTTGGGTTTAAATGTTAGAAACTCTCCTAATATATCCACCCTTGAACTATTGAAACTGAAAAAAATAAAATAAAAATAAAAATAAGGGAGTATCCATGGTTTTAGATGGTTGAAACTGAAAAGTCAGTATTAAGCATATCGATACTTCAAAGTTTGAATCATGATTGATTGGGACCTAATCTGCCAGATGTGATCTGTGTATAATTACAATATCATATTATTGTTTGTGGGTTATAATATCATCAAGAGGTGGATTGAGAGATTAAATATGCAACTTTATGAGTATGTTTTTGATGTTAAGATGCCAAACCCTCACCTGGGTTTAAGGTGCACCACTGCACCTAGGTGCATACAGAAGTTCACTTAAAGCAAATTATACAGAATGTGTGTACACAAGGTGAACTGCTGTTTTCACAAGGCAAAACCAAAATTTCATGTAATGGAGTTCTGAATGTATCTGCTAAGCAATTTTCTTATATATGGATGTTGTATATGTGCCAATTGAGGAGATAATATGGGAGATCACACCCTTTAATCTATAATACATTTTTAGCCTGGTGACCTTTTATCCAGTTTCCCTTTATTCTGTTTTTTGTATCTCTCTTTCTCTCTTTCTCTCTCAGTCCTTTCATCTTGGGTGTGTTTGGTTTTGTTCCTTTTATGGTTATTAATACTTTGTACTTTTGGATATAGAATTTCAAGCACTTTACACTACACAAATAACTCAAAAGGCGAAGAAGTATCATGATGGGATTATACAGCTTACTGTTTGTGGTTCCCAACAGCAGCAGGTTGATATGCATTATCTCTCTATCTTCTTATCTTATATACATTAACCATATTGGTCAGTTCATTTAAATTTCACCATTTTTTATCCAACTAATTTAATTTACTTTTCCTTTAATGATTCTTACTTAGATGGTACCATACATTTTTCAAAAGATTGAACATGTTTAAAAATGCCACTTGATAGTTTCTATAACTACATTCCATATTAATTTCATTAGCTTCCTTCATTATTCTGATTTGAATAACACAATTTGCATGAGTAGTATCTAACCAGTAAATTATTAGAAACTTCCACTATCTACTAAGGTGTTTGTGTTGACTTGGATCCCTATCCTATGGTCTTCTAAGCATATCAAGAAACAGACTCTTTCATTGATTCTATCACTGTCCACTGTTCTTTTATTAGTAACCCAACCAGTCCTTAATGATGCCTGACTTTAACCTTGATTTTATATTAGCTTAAAATTTCAGATTTGTTTAAGGGTTTTTTTCCAAGGGATAAATAGTGTTCTATTTATTTCTTTTTGGTCCACATTCAGGTCATGCTATATGATGCCAGCAGGAGGCTCTTAGACAGTAGATTCCTGAAGAAGGATGAAGTGGTTCGACCTGGTGAAAAACTAGTCTTTGATGCCTATCTGGTTGACATTGGAGATCCAGAATGGAGCCATAAGCCTCCAAAAGGCTTAAATCTCAAAGAAAGAGATAGCAAAGTAGATAAATGGATACTGCATAGAGAAAAGGCTAGACATAATTCGTCTTCAACTGGTACCTTTATTTCTATCAAGCTAAATATAGGTTTGCATAATGGTGAACTATGTGATATTTTTTATCTGCTTTTAAAGTGCTAAAAGGTAGGTTGGTTGAATATTTACTACTTATGCATTATTGATATGATTGCCATGTTAAAATCTAATATTTGTGCAATGACATTTCCATTGACAGACAATGGAAATACTGAGCTGAAAGATGGTGCATCAACACAAAGTCATCTTAATACTGAACAATGTATTGTAAGAGGTTAGTTCTATAAAGCTTTTATTCCATCAAATCTATTACATATTATGCTTATTATTTTAATTGTTTCTTTCATTAATATTATTTAAATACTTGAGGTTGTTTTCATCTTTTCTATATCTGGCCAGTCGTGCCAGTGGTAATGCATTTGATTTTTAATCTCTAATAGTTCACATTTTGTTGTTTTTCTCCTTGTGGATCACTTCATAAAGTAAAAAAACTAAGTTTTTCCTAGTTTTCTAGTTTTATTTACTCCCAAAACATGGTAAATCAGCATATCTAGGACAATAGTATTTCAATTGTACTAGTTTCAATACTTTCAAAAATGATACTAATATAATAAGTATTTAATAGAGAAATTTCATATCAAATTAGCAACTAAAGAAGGTTATAATCTGTTGAGGAGGTTGGCAGCCTAGCTATTCAGAAGGGAGACTTTTCTCTGACTTGTGGTGCCAGTCAAGCTTCGTTAACGCCTAGAGTGTTTGGTTCTGGTGAGGGACAAAAAGTGGTGGAGTTTGATTGGGGGAAAGGGTTGGTGGGGAAGGAGGTTGATAGAGTTGGTAGTTTGGAGGTTTCTGAAAGTTGAGTTGAACCTGAGAATATTAGAGCAAACGATGTAGAAGTTTGACCTCTTTGGATAAATCGGCATCGGATTATTTCTCTTCTTGTAAGGAAGTGGTGGTCGGAAAGCTTGGTTTAGATTTGGGGTGAAGAGGAGCTGGTTGGTGAGGTGGGGAGACAAAAGAAGAATCGATGTTCAAGCAATTTTCACATTATTCATGTTACTAAAGTTTTCTCTCATCTGAAGAGGGTTTGATAGGGGCAGGACCAACAAAACACTATAAAAGGGTTTACCTTAGAAAAGGAGGTAAGCCAAAATTGTTGATCTCGAAGGCTTCACATGAAGCAGAGGCTCCGGAAACTTTCAGCCGAGTTATGGAGATCACCTAAGCGGAGAATCAACCTTTGCAGGTTGAAGACAGGAACTTGATTCTTTCAGCAACGTCCTAAGATAAGCATCTGACAAAGTTTGGTTTGGAAGAGAGGTTGGAGTGTCCAATTGAAAATAAGAATATTGAGTCCTCTTCAAATGAGGAGATGGAGGAGAAGAAAAAAAGAGGAAGTGTGGATTTGAAGAGCTTAGTAGATAGAGAAGTGGAAATGGAAAAAGTCGCTAGGCCTTTTCTTTTTGTGAGGGGAAAGTATTGTTAGGAAAGCTTTGGAAGCCTTTGAAAGGAAGAGGAGTGAAGAAAATGCGTGGAGACTGGCAGATGCTCTTGAAGGAGAAAATTGGGAGGAGGAAGGAAGCTGTGAAAAGTTTGGAGAGATTGAAGAGTAATTGTGCTCCACTGACATTTTGTGCGAATGAAGGATAAGTGTTGCCTATTGAACTTGCCTTTTGTATGTTTGCTTTGTTTTAGAATGGGTTGGAGGTCTTGTAGGGGGGCTTGTGGGGTGTTATCTTAACACCTGATTCGGTTGTATTCCTTTTCTGTTTTCCCTTTAATATAATTTTTTCTTTTACTTATCAAAAAACAAAAAAAAAAATTATATGATAAAGACAAAGAGCAATAAAGGAGAAAAAGAACAAAGGTGGAGCTGCTGTTTTATTTAATGTAAGAGAGAGAGAGAGTTGAACTTGAAAAAACAATCACTTCTTTATATTTCTATTCTTTTTTCTTTTTCTCTTCTCAAAACCTTTGGATCTTTTATATTTCAATAGTAAAACTTTAAAACAAAGTATAAATGATATATAGTATATGATAGAATGTAGTAACACTCATATTAGTAAGATGTAGCAACATGGATGGTATTGTAATAAGGTGTCCGCCTTGTCATTTTAGTTGCCTAGGCAGGTGCATGGTTGCTATAAGCAAAGTGTTTAGGCGGCACACCCAGCCAAGGGCGACTAGTCACCTGGTTGACACCTTGACAACTATGAAAGTCAATTTAGGGCTGAAATTTCTAGAGAAAGAAGAAAAAAAATCAATATCTTAATATTGAAATTGGATTTCTTCAAATTGTTTTAAGGAAGTGTTTAGGAGGTAAAGTAAAGAACATTTAAACTAAAAGGGCTTTGAGACATGATTGAATCAAACCTGGTTTTCCCCAAGGTTTGATGGGGATGATTTGAAGAAGTTTCTCTCAATTTTTTAAAAGGTGTGGGGGACATTTTCCTGAAGGCACCCTTAAAATGCCCAGGGGCACATGCTGGAAGCAGTGATGCCTCTGAGGCACACTAGAGGTTTCCGTCTCATGAACTCCTCGTACAGAAAGAAAGAAAATCTTGGAGGCTAGGAATTACTTCTAGGATTCCTAAATCACTTTAGGTTTTGAAAATCATTCATCAAATGTCATACAAGAAAATAATGTACAAAAATCATTAGCTGCAACTTTGCAAAGAAACCATTACAAAAAAATCTAGTAACATAGGCTAGATGATCAGCCAATTTGGTTTTTTGTTCTCCATAGGCCTGGAATTGCAATAATAATAAAAAAAAAAAGAATACCATAATTTATCAGTTCATGATGTGGATGCCAAGGGGGAGTTCAATGTAATAGTCATTGCTGGGTGCCCAAATCAAGGGCTACCTATTCTTGATGCAAATGGATTGCCAATGCAGACTTTGATGCAACAGCAGTTGCTGGATAGCTAAACCAGGGGCAGCATTGTCATGTCCGTGTCAATTCTTGGAATCTATGGAGAATTATTTATAGAGGTTTGTTGGTTGTGGGAAAATCCATATGGGAAGTCCCTATTGGAAGAAGGTATGTGTGCTTTATATATCTTTACTATGATCAGAAATGAGGATCACCCAGCATGGAGCTGAGTCCAACTTCAGAAGACCTGATAGTTATCAACCTATAAGGAAGAAAATGGTTGCAAAATGTTCAATTATTTATTTCTTGCTATATATGCTATGCATGGAATTCAAAGCCACCGCTTCATAATTTTATGCCATGTCTTTACATTGCAACAAGTTGTAAACCTGCAATCAGTCAAGGTTCAAAGTCCACCTAGTTCCTGTAGAACTTACTTGTCCTACATCAAGTTGGAGTTAAGGCCGCGTTGAGTTGAGATTTAGGTTAATAGTGAAACGTATGTTCAACTTTGAGAATGGCCATTTCATGCAAAAATGTTTTGAAGGTTAGTTCTGTATCCAGTCCCTCCCTCCCAAAATCCTGATAGCTAGTACCAACATTGGGTAATGGCCCTTTTTACAATGTTATCACTGCGAGGTTTCATTTATGTTGGCTGTGGAACTAATTTATCATTGAATTCTGATGTCCTGAATGTCTATCATTGATAATCCAATCAACAAGCTTACTTTTAGACAGTTAAGTTACCTCTACATACAATAACCGATGTTATTAATTTCTAGAATATCTATATGTTTCCTTTCTTGTCCACAATAAATCTCTTAAAGTTGACTTACTAATACTCCCCTTAGTACATAAAATGAATTTAAGCACTAGCATGACCTAAATAAAAAAAATAATCAACAGCCTTTGGTATTGCTTTATTACAATCTTTGAAGTGATGCCCTTGGTTATCTAATGCAGAGTGGCATGCCTTGTATACCACACAAATAACTCAAAAGGCAAAGAAGTATCATGATGGGATTCTTCGACTTTCAAAATCCAGTTCCCATGGAAAACAGGTTTCTTTACTCTCTCTCTCTCTCTCTCTCTCTCTAAGTGGTTTAGACAAGTCAATTAGCTAATAGGAGTTTAGCACAGGCACTGAGCAACACAAGTGGGGCACCAAACAGAATAAGATGACTTTGTCATAGTAGTAATCCATTTTGACATGCTCTGCTAATTTCATTTTCTTTTTTCTGCATTGGCAGTTAAAGGTAGTATCAAGGAGTACAATGAACTTCTATCATGCGTTTTGTTTACTAATTCTCTTGTGTGTCAGGCTATTTTGTTAAGTGAAGATGGAAAAGTCCTGAGCTGTAAATATCTTAACTCATCAACAGATGTGAAAACTGGAAGTGCATTTGTATTGACAAATTATGTAGTTGAGATTGGTGAACTACGACCTCTCCAGGAAGGTAAACAACAAAGCTCTTCAGTCCTCATTTATGACCAATTATGGTTATATTATTCATTTAAAATTGACTGTAATGTGTTTATATCTTTCCTTTTTATTGTATTTTTCTTGTTAATATCTCCTTATGGATTTCTTATTTCCTGCTAAAGATGTGTTGCTTCAATATACAGGAGAACTCCAAACTATTGTTTCTTCTAGGAAAGATGAAGATTATAATTCCAGCAGATCAGGTGTTGGCAACCGTGATCTATGTGGGAAGGTCCCTAGGAGTGCAATACGTGATGGTTTGTCCATTTCACTTGATCGGTCACTCAAAGAATATCTCTCTAGCATTGTTTTCTTGGCTTAATTTGAGTGCCTTTTTGCATTTTCTCATCCTTGGTATGTCAGAAAACTCCTCATGCATGTTCTTATCTCTTGCAAGTACTCTATACTGAGTGGAATAGTCGTCATCATCATCTAAGCCTTAACTAAATGGGGTTGGCTACATGAATCCTGTTTTGTCACTCCTTTCTGTTTAATTTCATATCCAGTGTTAAATTATGAGCACTTAAATCATTTCTTATACTTCAACTCATATCCTTTTGGTCTATTCCTATCCCTTCTTGGGGTAGTGGATAACTCAACTTATCAAAATACTTACCTCTAGATCTTTATGTACTCAGTACCAAAAGGAAAGGGGCAAAAAGATCTTTTATGTTCTGATGCAAATTCAAAGTTGATTGCTTTCATCTAAAGTATATAAATGTGCCCTGCTGGAAAAAGAGGGCCATAAACTTGTAGGAATTAAAATAAAAAAGGATGTATTATTGGTTCCCCAACTGTATCAATTAAGGAAGCTCCATAAATGGCTGTACTGTACACGTTTCTGCCATGTGGAGCAATACTTGGGGCAATCCAGACTGCTTATTAATTAGTGGATCCTCTAGATCAGCCATGTGTTTGCTCCTGCAGTCTATGTCAATCCTACACCCCACCTTGTCTCAGAGACCAGACTCATAGTGGCATGCAAACTGTTTAGTCACTTTAGATTCCCCCATAATAATGAATTTATTTTGGACGTGGGTATTTTTGGGAATGAAAGCTCCCCCATGAATTTAGTACTAAAAACAAGTTGCCACATGGAAGATTCCTTGGTTTATTAAGATTCTTGTTCAAGTGGCCCAGTCTGTGTTTCAAAAGCAAGTAGCACAACTAAAGTACAAGGGGTTCTTAGAGCTTGAGCTCAAGGCAATGTATGAGCCTTAACAAAGGCGTCACTTTTGAAAAAGAAAACAAATGAAAAATTATATACACAAAAATATCCAGGGATGAAGTTTGAAGGTGATAAAAATGTTTCAGAAGTATATTAGCTCAGTTGTTGGTTAGAGTATTGCATATTTGCATTATTAATTTCTTTTTTTTTTTCATCCAGACAGTTTTTAAAGTAAAAAATACGAAAGTAAAAGTATTCCACATGCTTTGTACTTAGGTACTATTAAAAGTATGAAGTACAAAGTACCACCAAACAAGGCCTTAATTGTTTGAACTCTAAGCACCTTAAGTACACCCTACAATATGGTGATTTATATTTAACTTCAAATTTGAGGTTAATTCATCAAAACATGGCAACAACCCAGGGGAGGTGCACCTAGGTTCAAGAGGTGTGCACCACACAAAATGAGGCTTATCTTTGTTCTTATGCATGTCCAAAGGCACACCTTTTAGAACACTGGATCCAACTAGAAGATAATTTTAGAATATCCAATTATTTCAGCTTCTGCATGTGTTGAAGATTTCCATTCATCCTCATGTATGGTCTGTTAACTATACTATTGCTTACAGAAACCCAATTTCTGATGTAAATGGCTTGATTGGATTACTTCATAAATCCTTTACAAAATAGGTCGTAGTTTTCATCTTTATTAAATGCTGCATGGATCTTATATGCTTGTACTCTATATTCTTGGTTGTGCAGCACACCAGATCTTATCCATTCTTAAAAAGCCAATGGCTCAGGAAGGTGTTGCCCCCACCAGGACCCCTGTGGGGCAGGCACATTCTTCACAATCTCCAGATGTACTCCAATTTTGTCTTCAGTGTCAGCTACCTGCAGAAACTGCACAAGAGGCAAACTTGTCAAAGAGGAACACAGTAGATGATCATGAGGGCAACTCTAGAAATTTGAATAGAGAAAGAACTAGCCCAATGAATACCAACAAAAGTGAGGAAACTTTTGCAACGGACATCTACTTGATGGATCCTGACAGTAGAGGGGAATTACAAACAGAAGCTCTCTCGCATGGGTATGTACATGACCTAACAGTTTCAAATTGGAGGCTGAGAGCAGCCACTTCGTGCAATAAATATACATAAATAAAATATGCCAAAGATTAGGTTTGTATCCAGCCCACCCCTCCCAAGACCCCTGGATAGCCAGGACCAATATTACCTATCGGGTAATGGCCCTTTTGTTTTTCAATTGTTATTGAAATATGTCACTAAATGATTCTATTTTAATTATTTGAGAGTTCTTTAGTATCAAAATGGAAACTTCTGGGCAATATCGGAAAACTGCAATAGTATTTAGGTTTGGCTGTATATATTGAAGACTCTGTAACATGGACTACCATCACATACATGAATTTAAAAGAGGTGCAAAAATGGGCTTGAGCCTAATGCTTGAGCCTTGAGCCCCAACTGAGTCTGAGGTCAAGCTTGATTTGGCCAACCTAAGCACAGGGGGATGGGGTTTGCATATAATTTCCCAAACACAATTCAGGGTGGGCTTTCCTTGATCTTAAACGGGGGTAGAGAAAATATTTGTCTCAAACCAGGGACGGGGTGGGGATGGGATTTGCATATAATTCCCTGAACCCAATGGTAAATTAGTAAAATACCCCTAGGTTTAATGATAATTTGTAAAATACCCATGAGTTCCCCCAATTTCTTAAAACCCTAGGATCCCATAATTTCATTCTCATTTCTAAAATACCCAAATTTCCATAATCCAATTCATAAAATACCCCCAAATTCCCATAATCCTATTGTTAAAATACCCCCCAAATTAGTTGTATTTTTAGGTGGTTTCCTCGGAGTGGGGATGGTAAGGTATCCTGGCTACAGGGCAAGGAGAGGGAGGGGGTGCCCCACCCTGTTGCCATTCCTAGTCAGTCAGGCTCAGGTGGGCTTATTAGGTCCAATGTATTAAAGAAATCGCTAAACCTATTTAACACAAAAAAATTAAACCATTAAATATAAAATTGTATATTTTGTATATATGTATGCATGTATGTAGTTGGCTGGGCTTAGACTACCCAAGGGTTAGGCCTGGGCTCAGTCCAAAAAATAAAAAGCCCAGGGTTTTGGACCCAGCCCATATCAAGGACCAAAAATCTAAGCCCATCCCATTTAAAATTCCGGGCTCAGTTTCTCCCGGCTTGGATTGGGTCTGCCCCAGTTGCACCCCCCCTAATTTCAGAAAATATCTGGTGTTATACAGTGCACCTAAACGGGRTCACTACATGAATGCAGTTTTGCCTTTCCTATTTCAAATTGCGAATTTTAGTTCATAAGTTGGTGTTTCAACCTATATTCTTCTTCTGCCTTTCTCTAACTTTTCTAGAACTTTCAATCTGCATTAAATTAATCATTGGTAATTCAGTAGGGCTGTTTGTAAAGTTAAAATTGCGATAGGTACGAAGAACATGCTCTTCAAGATGCATGCATTCTATTGGAAATATTAAGATCATTAAACACATATTAAAGAAAGTGTACAATGTTCCGTTTCAGGTTAGGTTGGCATTTGGTTAACCAAGTTGGTGCTTTTCAATTTTAAGTATTTGTTAGTTCACTTCTTAATGGAGTTTGTCAAATAAAATATAGTGCTTTACTGTTTATTTAAATCTTATCATTTGCTTGATTTCTTGTTTAGAGGAATCACCCGATTAATAATGAGTTACTCTTGTTAAGTGATCTTTGAACTTCCAAATACATGGATTCTGTAATCCACAGGGATCCGCTTTACTTCACACAACTTCAATTCCTCAAAACACCCTGGATTGCAGGATCCACGGTATTGGAACACGTGAACCATTTAATATTGCTAAATCACGAGTTTTGAAATTGTCCGACAATGTGAACAATATTAGTTATTAACAAATCCAGCTCTGCTTGTGGTATGACTAGAGACTATCGTCAATCTAGTTGTTACTTGTACTCATGATTTGCAATTCCACTAATTTATCCTGTGGACTATTTTGACTATTTTATTGCAGCACAGCAGCTTCCAACACCTTGACACCAAAGTCTTACTCGGGGTTAACCGATGAAAGTACAACAATCTCAGCCTCCTCTTTTATGGCGCCTCAAGTTTCAAATGTTGTGTTGGATTTGAATGACGATTCCGGGCCACCAAGTTCGTCAATGCCACAAGATTCCTCAAGTGGGAATACTTAATTTCGCATGCTTTATGAACTTGCTTCGTCATAAGGCAAGTATTACGTTGATACTTCACTCTATGATCTAGTCGTTGGTTTTGTACTCTTACTACTTTAATTTGATTGATTGCTAATATGCGGAGTTGGGCTTGGTGAGAGTCTGTGGGTTGCGAAACCACCGGTTCAGAACCTGTCTTTGTCCACCAACCGACGAAAAAAAAAAAACTAACCTGCTCACCTACCAAGGAATAAAAACGAATGAGAATCTGACGGAAAATGAATTCTTACAGAATCCAATTGCAGCGAGAGTCGAATCCTCGAGGATTTGCTTGGTGAACATACCAACCAGGTTCGAACCTTAATAAGCTTTACCATTCTTATTCAATATGATCACCTTATCAAAATTTCGTGCTCGTTTGCTTTGGTTTTCTTTAATTTAGAGGCCAAAACTTGTCACTGTTATGGTAATTACTATTTAATCTCTTGTTTGGATACCTCCCATCCTGCTCAACTTCTGGACAGATAACGAAATCGTATCCTTTCTTTCATCAATAAAAGCTTTGATTCATTAGAACACACTCATTTTTTTAGATCTTGGCGCTTTTGCTTAGTTTAACAAGTTGTTATTATGTTGTGTTTCGATTTGTGTAGCCTTGTATAGACAACATATGGAATGATGGGCCAAAGTGCAAGGAGGCTGCTGCTCTGGATTCATCAATTTTGATCACCGCTGACACGTCTTCTCGTGGCCCTACTCACTATAAAAGTGAGAGCTCCAATTCCGAGGAACTCAACATCATACCCAAGGGAAACGTGGACAAAGATGACTTCCCAACTTTTGATCTGGGATTTTGATTGTTGAATCATGAATGTGGTCTATATAATACACACTATTATGTCTAAATATTGGTTAGCCGCTACCATCGTTGGTTCATTTCAAAAGTCATTGACAAAGGTGAGACGATAATCATGATGCGTTTGACGGTGGTGACTGGTGGCGTCCAAGTTCCAAGTTCCAACCCTGGATCATGATTGATTTTATTGTCTAATTTGCACGAGGTAAACAAATGCTCTCTTTCTCTCTCTCACTACCCCTTTATGTTTTAGTAGATTTCAGATCTGCGCCCCACAGTGTTCTACAGCACATTTCTGCTGTGTATTGAAAACATCTCCCGATAATGACATCAGATGTAAACTTTTGTTTTTTAGTGATAGGCGGATAACGGATTAGTGGATTAAGACTTGAAGAGAACTTGAACACCCAGATTTTTGTAGCATCTACATCATATACCCACAGACTTCCCCAACTTTTATTAGCCGAAAACCTATAGCTCGTTGGATTCAATAATAGTTTGAAAGAGAAAATAAAACGCATTTTTGGATTTGATTTCTGAATTTTCTTGTATTTTATTTTTCGTGTACTTTCATGAGATCCGTGATGGATGCCCGATTGGCCCATTCCATGTGTATAAGATGTCGAGTTGGACATATTAGGATTTTGGGTTGTCTTTATTGTGGATCGGTCCAAAGTAACGTTTGTAGATTTGGACTTGGCCGAATGGTAATTGGATATGTAATCCTTCATTTTTTATAGAAAACAAGATGTCAATTCTTAAATCGCATCCCATTAGGATTTAGAACAAACAACAAAAAGTACAGGATTTTGGTGGTCCAACCATGAGGACCAATCTTAGGACCAGGCACTAGCATCGAATATGTTGCAAGGGATCGATTCCTATGCACATTTGGACAGCTGAGACCCTGAGAGCCGTCGTATTTTTCTCGTCTCATGGTTGGGATTTTAATACTCTGATTCTGATATAGCTATGAAGAGTAACCCCGACCGTCCAACGTATCATAGAGGTCAAAGTATGCTACTGAGAATCTGAGGCAAATCAGGTTGTATCTGTACTCGTTAGGATGTTATTCTCTTATGCCAAAGGAGAGGATTTTTCATACAATAGCGCGAGGTCGAATGCAACCAGAATCAAGTAAATGTAAATGTAGCAAATTTCAGTGTCGGATGCAAGATGGACTGCCTGAGTTCCATAAAAGGATCGCTCTCATTAAGTACCTTCTTGAAGGGATCGAAAGGTGCAACCCAACCACCTGACAAACACGACTAATTGGACCAATCCCAAGACTCTAAACGTAGGCACCCGTACCAACTCTCTTGAATGGGTATGTATTTAATATACCATCATCCAGGCATCCAGTCTCTTATTTACATTGCACAAAACTAGACCTGGCAATTGGGTTGGGTGGGCCGGGTTTGGGTTGGGTCAAGACATCTCGAGTTGGTTTTGGGTTGGGTTGAATTTTGGATTGGGTTATCAAATGCTAGACCCTAACCCTAAATGTTCGGGTTAGGGTTGACTCAATTCAGGTAATTCAAAAAATAATTGAAATTTTAAAAAAATAAAAAAAATTAAATGAAAATGCCAAAATTAAAAGAATTAACCATAAAATTTCAAATATAAATAAAAAATTTGAACATTTAACAATTAAAGAGTAAAGACTAAATAGAAAAAGTTAAAGAGTGGAAAGTTCTAACAATGCATAAATAGTTCTGATTAAACAACCCAGTTTTTTTTCGGGTTAGGACGGGTTGGGTCATCCTCACATTCAGGTAGCTAAATATGAGACCCTAACCCTATTTTTTCAGGTTGGGTTGGGTCAGATTCGTGGATTGAGTCAACTTTTTCCAGGTCTACACAAAACGATGCATAGGCTTATCAAGAGTTCAAGACTCGCCCTTCAAGCAATTGGTCTTGGTTACTGGATATCTCTTAAGAGTTTTTTTTTTTTTTTTTGAAGGCTATATCTCTATAGAGTTACGACCATAAAATTAAAATCGGACAAATTTGAATATCTGGTAAATGATTTCTTAGAATTCTGACCATGGTAATTGCACAGTGCAATCTTGTTTCTGTGCATAATTGCTTTTAACCTTTTTTTTCTCATCTTATTAAGAATTTTAATTTCTCCTTTGATTTTAACAACTTAGACGTTGAGATCATCCTAGTGTCCACTCTCCAATTCTCAGGCATTCCAAAAAGTTGTCGATATTTGAAACGTGGCGAACACCACATCAGTACATCACCCATTTTCATTTCTTCTGTTGCCGAAGACCAAAACCAGAAGCAACATGAGATAATCATAGTGGCAAGTATGACCTATACAAAGTAAAGTTGTCAATATTTAATTATAGTATTAAATTTTATAGAATTACCTTTAATTGTTTTAGGGACAAGTAAACCATACTCCACTTCAGAAATCTGAAAATTACAACCCCTTCTAGTTTATTAGTAGCCCCCTTATACATCGCATCCTGTTCATAAATTTAACATCAATCCACAGTTAAGATCTATCCCACCTATAAGATGGAGTTAAGATTTATTGAAATGGGCTGAATAATAAAAACCCTTAATTTTTAAGATAGAGACTGAAGAGAGGATGTAATCAATCTAAACTGTTTGGCAAATGGCAAATAGAATGGGGGGCTTCTCACTTCTCAGTAATTGATTAAACCTAGCACTCGGCAAAGCCTCCATTTCCAAAAGGGAGAGGAGGGTGGATGAACCATTAAACCGTCTTCCAAGTTTCCTTTTCTATGTGCTAAGCCTCAAGTCTATCTCTAATCTCTTCATTTGGTTGGCCGATAAATGAGAGTCTATTTCTCTCCTACGCTGTCTCATCGCTCCCGTTGGCTTCTCCACACGTGTTACGTGGGGTCTGAACTCACAAGCTGGTCCATATTTCAAATAGTCTCTACCCCTTTGAGCGCTGTGTCTCCGCTTTTTCCCCTGTCTAAACTCTATAGACTAAAATGTTCTTTATCTCTTCATCGCCGTCCATTCGTATACTTAGTTATTGGTATCAATACTCGACAGATAGGGTTCTCTGAATTATCCTTCGTCAAAGATCACGAATGATGGGGCCCATTGCCCATTTGGGGCGGAACAAGGTACAGGGATGCAGGGACGAAGACGGGATCTGCTCCTCACCCATGGGCGCCTCACATGTACATCCACCGTGTATTATGAATATTTCTCGTGAATAATAATTAATAAATATGGGTGATGTTCCCAATGCGCGTGTAAAGAGCCTGTGAGGCGCCGTGTGTGCGGAGCAGATCCGGTCTCGCACGGAGGAGAAAGCGTTCAGTCACACGTGGGAAGTTGTCGAGTGGCCATCACTTGATCTCACCTACAGGCTACTGGCTACAGCTACTGGGTCATCGTTAACAAAACCAATGTTCTAACTTCAAACATCATCAACAGATAATCAAATTCAATCCGGTGGATAAAATCTGGTACTTGCTATAATCTTACTGCAGGGCCTATTTAATCATTTACCACCTCAATAACTGTCTCCTCACGTGCTCTACACGTGACTGGTACGCACCATAAAGGATTATCAACTAGAAAATTAAAAAAAAAAAAAAAAAAACCGTAACAAAATCCTTTCTTCCTGGAAGAGTTGTTGGAGATCTTTTTTATCTTATTTGAGCGTGAGAATGGCAGAGCAGTTTGGGTCCCCTCCCCCTTGCTTGGTTGTTTGCTAGTTTTATTTCCTCAGACAAATTGGTCTTTTAAATAGAGAGAAAAGAAACAAAAACAGTGATAATGTAAGAGGACTATACATTCCATAACCGTCTCTCCGTCATGAATTCCTCTCCTCTTTGGATCTGAAAGCAGATTTTGGCGTCAAGCAAGTTCCGATCCATTTGGGTTGTTTGTTCTTCCCTTCCTTCCATTTCAATCATTTAATCCCACTGAAAGAAGAATGTTCTTAACTAGGTAAATTCTTTATTTCCCTTTCTCAAGATCCGAAAGAAAAAAAAAAAATTGTTTTTTTTTCATCGGTTGCATAGCCTATGTTTTATTTCTTCAGTCTTGTGGTATAAACGTTCCTTCTCTCGGTGGTTTATGAGTTTAATATCGGTTACTTTCTAACTTTTTTTCGAGCTTCGAATTATGGCTCTAGTCCGGTTCAAGGATGGATTTGTGGTGAAATGGTTTTTGTTTTCTTTTAGCTTCATTCTTTTTTCTTTCAAATTCTTTTATATATGGATTACGTAGGTTTCCGTTCCGTCATTTTTCTATGGAGGTGTTGTAATTTGTAAATATTGAGCGTTTTCGTAGTTGGGTTTTGCTTTCATTCTAACTCTTTGATTGATAAGTTGAAATTTGGTACTGGCTACTTTCGTTGATTGTGGTGAGTTAGGAATTGGGTTGCAAGATGGTCACGGACTCGCGGCTGATTTTTCAGTTGGGTTTTTGGTTTCAGGGAGATTTTCTGCAGTTTCTTTTACACCCTTTATTTAGTTTGGTGCTGCCTGAACTCAGCTCTGGTTTGTTTTGTAATTGCTGATTTGGATTTTCAAGTTCAGATATTGTTGTTGGTTGTGAACCCATTAATTGATACTGGTGCACTCATTTTCAATATGAATTTACTATTTTGTGATTATGAGGTTGAAGATTTGATTTGTACATTCAAAATGATTATCATTTCTTTTATGGTTGTTGACTAGTAGGATGTGATGAGTCTTTCCACTTGTCTTTTTATCCGGAGTACATCTCCTAAAGCATTGGATACCAAAAGCCAAGAGTGAAAAAGTAGCTATTGTCTTCCTGGAGATCTCTTCTTATGAGGACTATTCTCAAAAATCCTTCTATTTCTCTCAGTCCATAAGGCCCAGACAACCACAGTGGGTATAATCCTTTCTACTCTAATTCATCTTAAATTTACACCCTTTGAATCTGCACTACCCACTATCAGTTTACAACTGTGATTTTCTAGAGTAGGCCAGTCATGTCATCCAAATCCTATCATGTAAATTCATTCCAAACCTGATACATGTCATGCTTCTTTTTTCTCCCAGCAATGTGGAATAGCACTCGGAATACTTTCCCATGCCAGATCCAGAGTTATCACATCAAGGGATTGTCTCTTGATCAAATCAAGGTGTGATCTGGACCACCTTAACTTCCAGACCGTTTCCTTCATGAACTTTGTACTCTCGATGTTCTTTTGTCTGAGGAAATGCTCAAGTAGGACTATCCCACTTGTCCTTTCCTGACATGGTAACCCCTTCGGTTGCCATGACAACTAGGTCAAAGGACCTTGTTCTATTACCAAGGGTGCCTTGTCTAGTGCTAGGATCCTTTCCCATTTTGTGTCTTCCCTAGTCCATTCTCTCTAGAACTCCAAGTTACAACAAGTCCCCCCATCCCTGGACACCCCAGCCCCAAGTAATAGTGAGCAATCTAGTCACTTCCTCACTAAGTGAGTTCTCTGCCTTGTAACAGGTATCTGGGTAGTGGGTATCATAGGGTGTGCACTGTTAAATTGGTTAAAACTCCTGAATTCAATGTAAATGTGTTTTCTTGTGCATTATGTTTTGCTTCTCCTTCCCTGGAAATGGTAAACTTGCTTCTTGCCTCTCCCCCTCCCCCCCCCCACCCCCTGATAGGTTCAAATTTACAGATTCAATCATTACACTTAAGGCTCTCAGTTTGGGAAGAGTACAAATACAAATATGTAAAGTGCAACCTTGTATTTTGTACTGTACATATTTGTATTTTCATGACGCCAACATACTATCTAGTCAAGTTTTTTTTTCAATTACAAGGACCTTTATAGTTCTGGGGTTGGTTTTCTTTAAGAATGAATGCTAATATATCTTGCATATGATTTAGAGGAAATCCTTGGATTTCATAACTTATCTATCCTTAATGTATTTAATTTTTCCTGCAGTAAAATGTATCAGAGAAGAGAGTAATGGCAGCAGCAGAAGCAAGGGCTGCTTGGCAGCGCACAGCTAATCGGTGTTTTGTCCAAGAAGATGCCAAAAGAGCTCCAAAATTAGCTTGTTGCCCATCAGCTTCATCATCTAAACCACAGGTCGATGTCGGAGCTGGTGATTTACCACATGGGCCAGATCATCCAATCACAGGTTTCATGCCTCTGAACTGGAATCCTTCAAATTCCAATCTTCCACCTGACACAAAATGGTGGCTCCAGTTGCAACCCAACTTTGGATACCAGAAGGATTTCACGTATGAGCAGTTAAATGACTCGGAGGCTGAGCTGGAAGTTTTGAGAGCTGAGGAAATAAACCAGGCCTCCATACTTGGTGCAGACAACCTGTTTATCAAAGAAGATAGTATTCATGCTGAAAGCAACAAGAATGCTGAATCTTTTTCAGAGCCCCAGTGGCAAGCTGGGGTCCCTGCTACATGTATGAAACATGAAGCAGAAACTAGAGTGTGTGAACTAAAGGCTGTGAATAGTAAAAAACAGCCACTTAAACATAAGGACATAGGAGATTACTGGTACCAGGATGAGGAATTAGTAGACTTGGATCCCAGCTTAATATCAAAACAATCTGAAAAGGTTTTTTCCTATTCACAGACCCCTTGGATAGGAGCTGAGAAGACTGAACCATGGTGGCGAATCATGGATAAAGATGATTTAGCTTCCTTGGTTGCAAAGAAGTCACTTGAGCATATTGAGAATTGTGATCTCCCTCGACCACAGACAATGCATGTTAGTAGAGGCCAATTTGCTTGTCATGAGTGCTTCAACCATGACACAATTTTCTCCTCATCTTTAGATAAAAAATCACACAGTAATCTCTCCAACCTGACTGACTATTTATGGGGCAGTCCCACTTCACAAAACATGGATGAGAAAGAATTGGCATCTGATGAAGTGGGGAACTCACTCTACCGATTAGATGAACCTTTCAGGTATTGTTTTAGTGCTTGTTTCCACTGCTTTTTTTTTTTTGCATCCATAGTATCTCTTTTTTGAATTACTTTATTCGGGTTTCTCATCGGTACTTAAACATTTATTGATTAAAAAAAAGAGAGAAATGGTTTTAGTAAAAGGGCATAAAATGAGACCAAACCCAGTCTTCATTTGAAGACTATGCCTTCATTTCAGATCCTTGCATAAAAAAGCAACCCATTTTCTGTGGAAGAGGCTCCCTACTCTCCTCTGTCCACCCCAGACCTGGCTAAGCTACTGGCTGCATCATTTGTCGTTCTCCTTGTCCAAGTGAATGAGATATGCACCTTGGATACAAGAGATCTAGCTTCTCTAATGTTTTAATGAGATGTCGCATCTGCCAAGTCCCATCCTGACCATTCATCCAGCCAATAACCATTTGACAATCTCCTTCCACCTTCAAACTTGGGAAACCTAATTAGTACATAAGTCTCAACCACTACAGTAATTTATTCATTGTCCCAAAACCCACTTGACCTGAATAAACATAAAGAAATTCTCCATTTCATTCTCTGAAATCCCCCCTCCCCCCCCTTCCCTTTGAATTTCCTGGGTTTCCAAAGAACAGACATCAAAATTCGGTTAAATAGCTTCACAACAAGGAGGGATCTAAACATGTATAATAATCTTTGTTCTAGTAGATGTTCTAGAAACCTCCTGAAATGTCCTCAAAATATCATTCACTGAAAAATCATCATCATTATCATCTAAGTCTCACCCCAACTATATCAGGCTGGCTACATGAATCCAGTTCCACCGTTCCATTGTTAAATTGTGGGCCCATAGATCATTTCTCACTACCTCAACCCATGTCCTTTTTGGTCTACTCCTAGCTCTTCTAGGCCCCTTGTAAAAGATCAATTCTTACTAGTGTTTTGGAATGTCTTCTTTGCATTGATAAATCTGTTTGTTAAAATCCAGCATGCCACTATCACATGCATAACACTCGTCAAGATTTCTGATTGGCTCTTCTCTTGGAAAACTCTGAGTGTTCCCCTCCTCCCAAACTATCTAAAGAATAACTGTTGTAATGCATCTTCACATGATCTTTTCTCTTTTTGTTGGAGAGAAGAATGTTAAGGTGAAGGGTGTTTGGATATCAGTTAGTGCCTCATAAACAACTAAGCCATATGTTCAATTGTTCATTATCTAGAACTTTATTTTGTGTATGTCGTTGTAATGCTGGTAGTTGAGCATATATAAATTTCTCAACGTACTTCGTTTGCATTACTCAGAAGCAGAAACTCAGTGCCTGTGGTTACCTCTAGTAGTTCCAGCAGTCAAAGAACAAGCAAGGATCCAGCAGAGAGCAAGCACACCTTGGAGGGTGATCCAAGCAAAGCTCAGCTGTTGGAGGCACTCCGTCACTCCCAAACCCGGGCAAGGGAGGCTGAAAAGGCAGCCCAGAAGGCCTACAGTGAGAAGGAACACATCATCAAGCTCTTTTTCAAACAAGCCTCGCAACTGTTTGCATATAAGCAGTGGTTCCAACTGTTGCAGTTGGAGGCTCTTTGTGTCCAGCTCAAGAACAAGGACCAGCCAATCTCCACACTCTTCCCAATGATCTTACCATGGATGCCGTGCAAAGCTAGGCAACTGAGGAAGGGTCAGCACAAGGCTGCAAAGAGGAATAGAGGTTCATCAAAGCATGATATTTGTAGGTATGCTTTTGCTTTTGCAGTGGGTTTGAGCCTCGCTGGCGCTGGGTTGTTCCTTGGGTGGACCATGGGGTGGCTGCTACCTACTTTCTAGACAGCTTCCAAACATATTGCCTATAGCTGCCCAACACCTGCTGGTGTTTATGAGCTTTTATACAAGTGTATGTAGTACTTTTCTATGGTCCTTGGATTGTATAGGTTATGCACCTTCTGTACAAATGACGTGATGAGATGTATATGTGTATATATTAGTGAACAGTATGCAGCTGGAATTCAGAGATATATTAACTTCAAGCTATTGCTTAAGGAGGGAGGGAGAATTTGAAGTTTTAGGGTCTGTTTGGTGACAAACTAGCATGAGCACGAGATCCTGAATATGCTTTCATGGTATGTGACAATCACTTGGGCATTGAGCTGTGCAAAAGGCAGCACGGGAGTGAATTGGAGCTAGGTTTGGTGGTTCCAGGATGCACGCATGGAAGGGCTTAAAGTGTTGATTGAGCTGCATTGACTGAACTGTTTTGGAGAAGCTACCAGAAACGGCTTCACCGGAAAATCATTTTCTCAGCTCATGTAAGCGTATTTTGGCCTTTCAGATTTTTCACCAGCTTTCTATACGAGGCCTACCTTGCAACGCCAGAAGCTGCTGCGTGAAAGCCTCCAAACAGGCACCAAGTCTCTCCAAAGCCTTGAGTGGAGCCTTTTATGCTTTATATTTTTCTGTCGATTACAACAATCTTGCCTCGTTCCAGCCAGCTATTCTATTCTATTTTCAGTTTTTCACTCAAAAGTAAAAAGAGATTATTCTACATATATCACAAAAATGAACAAAAAACAATCAAGATAGGAGTATATAGAACAAAACAAGTTCTAAATTAATATTTACAGGGCAGGCGCTAGGGTTCCTACTTCCTAATAGTTTTTAGTTTTTGGGCATATGTTATGAATATTTTTCTGCTAATGGTGCTGAGTACTTTGTAGATTTCAAGAATCTAATTAATTTAGGGTTTCTAGCCGATAAGGGTACGTTTTCGGCTTTAATAGCAATTAAAATATAGCTCAGCCCACCTCGTTTTCTTTATGATAAGGTTCTTCTATATGCCTGGAAAGTGAAAACTAGAAATATTTAAAGGGTTTTATTGTAATAAAAGCCTCCCTTTCGTCATTGACCCCAACAGAAAACGTTAGTTGATGCATCAAATATTTTTAAATACTGATTTTACCCTTCTACCACCGACGCAGACGAATAATAACCTACCACCATGACTAAAACAAAGCCTGTAAAGTCAACTTGAATGTCCATAAACCATTACTAGACGAGCTGCCATCGTCTACATTTCTACTCATAATACTGAGCAAGTAATCTGGTCCGTACACGTGGATGCCACGTATCAGACGGACATGGAGGAGTGACATGGTTAAGAGTGTTGAGGAAATAGAACCACCACTGAAAGATAATCGTGCATTATTGGTTTATAGAGAAATCCTTTTTGATGGCTGGTGTTTAAGAAAAGCTATTGCCAGCAATGATTTGAAGCAAAACCGAGTTTGATTCATCACGGGCTTTCTTTGAAAGTGATATATAAAAATTGAAGGAGATGATTCATTCAGTGATATTGTTCTGCGTTTTGTAGTGGTTCCCGAGAGAAAGACGGTGTGTTGGAGCTGTGAATTGCTTCATTTCTCTACTTCTTCTTCCTCCTCTAACTTATACAAACCCCCAGAGTTGGATCAGACGTTAGGTTATTAGGTTCACCGGCACCCACAAACACCTTCTAGGCTTCTACCACACCTCCTATGTTCTCAGCTGGGAAATATGGAATGGAGAGCACTAATGTTGACAAAGATATTACTATCAAATTTGCAAGCACCCATCATACTGGAGCAATTTGTTTGTTATCTGTTATCTGTGTGGCTCTACCCCCAATTCAATCAAACTCTTTTGTTCAACTTAACAACTAAATATAACTTCTTTTTTCCTTCGCTCAATATCATTTCAAAAACAATAAATTTTCAAGTACAACTACAAAAGAAGAAACCCATATCCTAATTAACTTCAATGGTTTTATTAACTCAACATTAATTGAAATTTCTGCACTAAACTTACACTAGCTAAAGTGCCTTCTGGTGTAGCCCTATTACGAGTTTGTGGACTGCACAAAATAGCTAGGGTTCAGACTTTAAAGCTTGAAATCGAAACTTCTACTGAGAATGCTTGGCATTTATGAGGGGAAGGGAGACTACAACTAGACAACACAGCGACGTCGAAAAACATGTAATGCTGGCGACTTGGAGTTGGCCATTGTCAAATATTCTCAGTCTCTCAGGCAACCACACCGCTGAGTGCCAATCTTGGGTCTTGATAAATGGCTCAGGTGTGCCCCAAAACAGAGAGGACTGGTATCTCTTTTATTTCTCTTCATCTTTTTTCTGTCAAGTCACCTTGATATTTATAAAAGAAATTAAAACAAAAACAGTTCTTATAACAAAAGAAAAAAGGAACAAAAGCAATTCATCCTGCCATGGGACGATTGGAGTTGCAAAGCATACAAAAGAGAAAACCAGCATTCAAGCACTTGGCTTACTTTGCATTGAATTGAAGGCCAAGAGCGGGGATGAATTTGACTTTACAGGGCACAGGCTTTGTTTCAGTCAGGGTGGTAGGCTATTGAATGGAATTTACCGTTGTCCATCTGCGTTAGTGGTAAAAGGGTAAAATCGGTATTTAACAAAAATTGATGCATCAACTAACATTTTCCGTCTCGATCAGAGACGGAAGAGAGGTTTTTGTCAAGTTTCTCAAAAGTTCAAGTGAGGTATTTCTTACAATAAAACTATAAGAGAGGTTTTCATGATTGTCAGAAAATTCAAGGGAGGATTTTGTATTTTATCCATATTTAAAAGTTGACTTAAAACTGGTCTTTGTGGAAAGTGGCTGCATTACCTTGCCGTTATAGTAAAAATGTCTTGCAACCTATTTTCCTAGGCTCCATTTGAAAGTACAAATACAAATATATAGAGCGCAAAATCTTATATTTTATATGCATATTTGTATCTGTATTCCTTCCAAATTGAACAAATGACAATAGAAAACGTGTATTGAGAAGCTAACCCTTTTGGCGGACACTGCAGACCAGAAACCCTTGCCAAGGTTGCTGTTGGAAAAACAGGATCGTGTTTGGTGGGCTTGGTAGTGTGCTTTTGAAAAGAATTACATCAACAATGGTCAGTATATCTTGTTTGGGCTTTGGGTATCCTGTTTGTTGATGGTGTCCTTTCAACTGAAAAACTAATAAAGGATCAAATATGAAATTGAGCTTATGGGCAAATGCTTAAGGCTGTGTTTGGTTGTAGTATGAATTTATTTGCATTAGTATAAATGTATGGGAGTGCAAAAAAAAGAAAATGCAAATTCTCATTTAATTTAGCTTTAGATTTTATTTTATTTTTCTTCATGTCTTAATTTTTTATTGCAATCAAACAAAATAAATTAAAATTCGAAACAAAAATAGATCAGAATTTACAATCAAACCATTTGCACTGCCATGGTTTTGCATCAGTGCAAAACACAGAATAAAGAAACAAATGGTTTTCAAGTAAATTAGACTAAAACACGATGTACGCATGTAAATGTAAMAAAAATGGGAATGCAATCAGGGTGTACTTTTTTATTTTTGGGCGCAATCAGGGTTACACTTAGACCTAGAGATATATGGCGTTTTTCAATACTTTAATTTGATAATTCATAATCTTAAAGCAAGATGGGTAGAATGAAAGGGGATGCATCTAAAGTTTTATACCATAGCAAAATACCACTTAATATTATAAGGCCAATTGCGTTGTATGGAACATAACGTTAGAAAGTCAAAAAAAAAAAAAATCTGTCCAAAAATAAGTGTGGAATGAATACGTTGAGATGGATGTATGGAAAAACTAAATTGATAAGATTCAAAATGATAGAAAATAATCAAATAGACTATGATGGTTTGGTCATGTGTATAAAAGATCATTAACGGTACCGGTATTACTGTGGTCTATTGCAAGTTGAAGGGACTGGAGAGGCAAGGGGTAGACCAAAAAGAAAATGGATAGGATTTATAAATGTTTAAGCACTAATATTTTAACAATGGATATAACATTAAACAAAGTGGATTAGCGAAACAGGATTCATGTAACCATCCCATATAGACTTGAAAATGATGATGATGAATATTTTCATTGATAATAAAACAATATAGTTCTTCAAAAAAGCAGAAAGTGTAATTTTTTTTCAAAAAAAGAAAAACTAGAAAGCTTATAAAGTCATTGATCTACTAATTCAGAGACCAAATCAACCCCTCACAATGTCCCACAGCACATCCCCATCGTGTATTAGAAATATTTTCAATGATAATTCAACCATCCATTCCAAGACCCGAAACTGACAATGGTAACTTGATATAAAAAAGGGTAATTAGAAGACAAGGATAGTCGAACAAACAAAAGCTGTGGCTGTTAGAAGACATGAAAGGATTTATGCTGTAGCTGTGCTTCATTCTTTATTATATAGGGATTTTTTTAATAAAACCAACTAAGCATAAACATAAATATCAACCTCATACATAGACCCAAATCGATAGACCCCATTAAATCGGGTTTGGGTTTGCAAATTGCAATATGAATCTTGGGATTGCTTTTAATCGTTTCAACCCAATCAAGACCCGACCCGATCATTGGGTTTGACACCATTTCATAACGGCTGAAGTGGCTAAAGTGAATGGCTTATTCATCTGATTACTATATACCCTTAAATATCCAATAAAAGACGAAACAATAATTCATTCAGTTCAAATGACTCTGTAGATAATTGAAATGGGGATGTTAAAAAAATTGCAAATTTAAAACCATATGACATGGATACGAAGTTAAGGAATACTTGCAGGATGCAATATCGGTTCATATTTTAAGGAATACAAATACAAACATAACAATATGTAGTGAAAAATCTTATATTTTGTATTATTTTATATGTATTTACACTGTATATATTTATATTTGTATTCTTTTCAAACCGAGTTAAAGAAAAATAGTACGAAATGGAGGTAAAGATTGATAATATGAACCCCTCTCCCCCTATTTCAGAGATAAAATTTGATGCTTCATTTAAGGGGTTGGCTTTTTGACACATTGCTTGAGATTCTCTAGATAAGTTTGTTTTTACTCAAAATAGCTATCAAACTGAGGCATTAAAATCTTGACCGGGTGTAAAATTTATACTTGGTTCAATTTTGCTTTTGTTCGTTTGTATTTATGATCACATTCTTACCTAATACAAAATTTGTATTTTTAACTTTTAATGCACTTACCAATAGTGCAATTTTTGCATCACTCTCACCTCAATTTTTTTTATTTTATACGTACGGTTATTTTTTCATATAAGATGTCATCTTGTATCCCACCTTATTGCTAGACACATAAGTATCCTCCCCTCCATTTTGCATCGCAACCAAGCAGAGCATAAGGGAATCCAAGGAAAGAGGTTTCAACTTTTATAGGAGATTCGGCTCTTGTTATCAATTCAATCCAAGTGAGTTGTACAGACCCATGAAATTTAAATTTAACGCCTGATATCGGATCCGATATATCCATTTGACCATTTCCCTGTTCAAGGCTTCAAGCTCATCTATTGGACTTTAATAAAAAGTTGATTGTATCATTAGTGGAGCATGTCAAGCTGTTGATTCGATCAAATCTATGCGTTGAAGGTAGGGGTGTCCATAAAAAACCAAATCAAAAAAGGCAATTAGTCAAATTCATCGATTCGGTATTTTTGAAAAATCAAGACCGATTTAGTTTTTGATTAACCAAATCAAATGATATATATATATATATATATATATATATATATATATATATATATATATATATAT